AGGGAGGGAAAGAGAGAGAGAGAGAGAGAGAGAGGATGAGGGAGGGAGAGAGAGGGAGAGAGAGGGAAGGAGGGAGAGAGAGAGAGAGGATGAGAAAGAGAGAGAGAGAGCTGGAATTAGAAGTCAATTCAAGTCTATCTATAACTATTAAATAGACTCATAAATAAAAATGCTTTTCTTATATCTAACTTGTAAATATTAAATTAGATACAAATGTTGGTTTGAAATACTAGTCTGTATTTTTGTTATTAAATTAAAGGCTTTTCAAGATCTCGGGTAAAGTTAATTGAATTTAATAAACTTATAGAAAAGTAAATTATAGTTTTGTTTTTTATTCATTTTTGTGTATAACAGAGAATCCGACAATTTATACACATTTTTCTGTTTATATCAGGCATTAAATAATATAACTTATTAAATAAATAGGGTTTATGTTGTTAAGTAGTTAAAAGTTTTGATTAAATAAGATATGTTAATACAAATTTGCTAAACATGCTGAATATAAGGCTTGTTTTAGTCAATTAGTTTGTATTACATCTGACTTCAAATATACGGAATATTTATATTTAAATCACTTTTGAGAGCAGTTTCTCAACAATTGTTATATTAGTTTTCCTTTTATTGTGCGAAATAAATGCCATTTGCTTTCAATTACTACTACTGAACGGACAAATTGTTGAAAATTTGTATTTATATTAAATTGAATGCAGAATAAAGACAATGAAATTAAAAGAATTTGAAATTTTATTAATTATTTATTAAATATTTTTTGTTAATTCGAAATATTTTAATATAAAAGTTAATTAAATTGTATACTCTAGTGATGACCAACACTTACCCATTGATAATCACTTTGAATTATATTTTAATTAGTCTCTAAAGTATTTCCTCTCAGGATATGATCGTTTAGTGAATGGCTTACAAACAAACCAATAGTTAATTAAATAAAAATTTTAGTACTTTTCGACAAAAATGTTAATAATGTTTCCTAATGAAAAATATCCAGAAATAGAGAGAGAGAGAGAGAGAGAGAGAGAGAGAGAGAGAGAATTCAGGAAATAAAATGTAATAAACAAATAATTATTAATTAATATGAATTAATTATGACATAATTAAAGGCAAATCCACGGGAATCGTGACGACAACCCGCGTAACCCACGCGACTCCGGCGGCCCTTTACTCGCACAGCGCGAGCAGGTATTGGGAGAGCGACGACAAAATGCCTCAAAACGCAGCCCTTTGTAAAGACATCGCCCGACAACTGATTGAGAACAGACCGGGAAAGGACCTCAATGTAAGCCCTCATCACTATTTACAGCACAACACTATTGTCTCATTTATTACGACAATTGCATACAAATTACCAACAAATTGACAATCAGTTGCTTAACAGCAGCCTCTCGTCAGCACTATTTATGTCTCATTATATATATGTGTCGATAATTTTCAGGTGATTTTTGGCGGCGGGAGAAGACATTTCCTGAACGCCACCGAAAGGGATCCGCAAAGACCTAACGATTTTGGTCGTCGAGCGGACGGCCGTAACCTAATTGATGAGTGGCTTAAAGACAAGAAGGATAGAGGACTGGAGGCTCAATACGTGAAGAATAAGGCAGAGTTAGAGCGACTCAACACTTCGCATATCGATTATTTGCTCGGTTTGTCAATCAATACAATCTCTACACAAATATAAAGCACTGCTATTAATAAAATCGGTGTTCAATAAGTGATATATTGATTTATGTTTGCACGAGAAAAGGTCTATTCAGTGGTAATCATATGGCCCACGAACTGGACCGGGAGGACGGACCCACCGGCGAGCCGTCATTAGCCGAGATGACCACCAAAGCGATAGAGGTTTTGCGCCACAACCCGAACGGCTATTTCCTGATGGTAGAGTCGGGCCGTATAGATCACGCGCACCACATGAACAACGCGAAGAGGGCTTTGGTGGACACTCTGGCGTTGGACGAGGCGGTGTCGGCCGCCGTGAAGATGACCCACGAGTCGAACACACTGTTGGTGGTGACCGCCGATCACTCGCATGTCTTCACGTTTGGCGGGTTCGCCAAAAGAGGAAATCATATATTAGGCACAGACAGTAAGTTCTCTGATGTCGATTCCCTGCCCTACACAACACTGCTCTACGCTAATGGTCCCGGATATACCAGCAAACGCATCAATATTGCCAACATAGACACCAGTAAGTGCTTATTCATACTATGAATGGCCATCCCTTTCCTCCCCCTCTCCTCTTCCCATCGCATCAAAATCCTCTCTTCCTTTGAATACATCTTTTGTGAATCTATTTATAAGTTTTGTTAATCCATTGATACGTTTGTGTCATTTATCTTTACGTCGTTACCACTATATAATAAATGGGTTAATAGTTCTTACAATCAATATATAACTAATAGTATTATTATGGGCATGTTTTTTACTTTGTTGTGTATTTTGTAAAAAAATAAATACATTATAGTCTATCACATAATTCATATTTGTGTAATACTGTACTTCATTGCAATATAAATCGTTTAGACAATACATAGAGTGGACATTTTGTTTTGACAGCCCCGATTTAAAATAAATTCGGTTTTAACACATATTTTTAACAACACGTCAAAATTGAAAATCTACTGTATATATATTTATTTTATGGTTTAAGATTTTAGTGCATTTTCCATTTAAATTAAGTTACAGTCAATATTCGTAAAATAATTAGAAACAATTGTTTTATAAAATGTGTTAGCATTTTAAACGTGTCTTTAAGTATTCTAACTTTAATATAGAAATTATTGCAGAATTAAACAGAAAGATGACTAGAATTTTAATATAAAAGTTAGAATTCACTTATGGTAAACGTTCATTGTTTTTATTCACTAATTGTTATATCTATTTATAGAAATAAATTTAGAAGTTTATTAGTTTATTAGAAGTTTATTATTAATGATATGGACCAAGTTTCTTATATGTGTTACGTAAGCAAACTCTTGTGAATAATATTATGTTATGAGACATATTGAATGCCTTTAAGAGACAATAATTGTATTATATTTTCTAAATTAAAACTTTTAATTCAAGCCAAACATCTGTCGCCGCCTCTAATCTTAACATTACAATCGTTTTCCGAACCTTATATACGATATAAATTGCTTTCTTTAATAGGAGTCTTATTGTGTTTGACGCCATCGATGGCCTCAGTTATCACATACGAGTGCTCCATAGCTTCTTGTGGTATATTTGCTATTCCTATAGAATTAATGTTTTAATATTTTAGATATAATGTGATTTAAAGTCAACAATTTTTATTTGTATTTACATTATTTGCTTTTATACAAAACAAATATACTTTAAACAAAAATAAGATTCAATGCCTTATTTTATATAGTTTTGTAGTTTTAAAAGCCGTTTGAATAAGAGATTGACTAAAGAATACAGAATTTGGATGTTTTTGTCAATTCTTTATGAAATATAGATTTATGATTATAGCCTGTGTTGACAGTAGTCTCTGATTACTATTTATATTATATGCAAACGGAATGGCTTTGAGAAAAATATATATAAGAAAATTTATTTTAATATAAAATAATAAATATTCAGACGAAAGCTTCAAAAAATTAATTCATGCGTCAAAACAACAGGAAATTATTTTTTCCAAAATTACATTTAAATACAAATTATAGTAAAGCAAAACCGATGGCAAAACCATTTCCTTCGCCTCAACCAATAGCTAAATTCAATTCTCACCCAAAATAATGGCATAAAATTAAAATTAGATTATTGTGCGGCAAATGAAATGAAAATTGCATGAAAACCGCAAATCAATTGCAAAATGAAATTTGCATAAAATTTTCAATTCCTATTAAAGAATCATAAAATTTGTGAATTTTAGCGATAAATATTAAATAACTAAATGATTGATATTTATATTATTTAATAAATTATAACTCCTCAGTGAATAGCGTTCGCGCAAATAGTCTCAAGAATTTAGTCTATATTTGCATAATATATTAGCATTGAATTCACACCAAGAATACCAAATGTCTGATTAAGTGAAGCAAATAAATGTAGAATTCAGTCTACAGTATGTCTATAATAATAAAAACATGGTATAAGTGAATGTAATGGTTGAATACCTGCTAATTTGGCGACGATTGGCGCCCAAACACCGGAACTGTTGACAACACAGTGAGTGTCGATATCACGTACTTCTCCCTCGTATTCAACGCTAACTCTATTGACTTTTTGTCGCCTAAAGCCGTCGATCGTATTGATGCCAATTAGACGACATTTGCTAAACACTTGAACATTACCTCCTTTAATGAGTGCCGAGCAATACATATGCGGGTCAACAAAGCCGTCGTTAGGGCTGTAGAGACCGCCCGTTAAATCGCTGCTCTTCTCGTCGATCAACGGATCCAATAACTCAATCGTTTGCTTTCTGTCCAATATATGAGACTCTATGCCATAGTATTTGGACAGACCGTGAAGTCGTTGATACTCTCGCATACGGTTGGGATTGTGTGCCAAAAACAGACCCCCGTTATTGATCCAACCCGTGGCCTCCACTCCCCGGCGGGACAGCAATGTCTTTGACACCAATTCATGCGTACGACTCAATAGAGTTATGTCTGTTTCTGATGGTAATTGTGTGCCAAAAACAGACCCCCGTTATTGATCCAACCCGTGGCCTCCACTCCCCGGCGGGACAGCAATGTCTTTCTGTGGTTAAGTACGCATGCTGAGTTATCTCAATACAGACAAAGACTACCAGAGTCAGAGGTTTGGTCTGGAGTTATAAGTAACTTTATAGTTAAATATTTATAATTTATTTATAAAAACGACAAAAAAAATAAATTTATAGCATGTTTATACGGTATACTGGCTTATTATATAGACCCCGGGATATTTGTTTGTGATGAAGGTAATAAAAGTATGTTTATAATACCGTTTGTATGCCATGTCGTTCCGCTGGTTATCTCATCTCTTTCGATGACAATTACATTATGAAATCCCAATTCATTTAAATGGTATGCCGTCGACAGGCCTATCACTCCACCCCCTGTTTGATGGCATAATAATTACATTTATTAATAAAAAACAAAAAATTTAATTATTGAACACAAATTAAATTGAAACCACTGTTAACTGACCGACGACTACAACATCACTAGATTTGGGCAATACTTTAGTCGAGTATAGTCTTGAGAATTGTCGGTACATTTATTTCGCAAATTTTACAAAATAACATCAAGTTTTAAACTTATTTTATACGATATGTTATATATTATAATTTTAATTATTATATAATTTAGTGCATTACTCTTAGTTTTTGTGTTTATTGTACAGAATATTTTTATTGATAATGATTTAACTGATTTTGATTAATATAAACATATGGTTTGTTGTAAATGCAATGAAGTAATGATTAGATAGTTTAACTATATAAAATGACTTGTTAAAATAACATATAAAATGATTTGGTTAAATAATATATTTGTAAACATATGAAAAATTGAGAAAAATGCACAATTTAATAAAAATTGCAATTTGTAAATTCAATAAAAACATTAATTGTCTGCAAATATGAACAAATTCATGTGGCCTTATATTTTAAGTTTATTACATTTGAAGACAAATATGTTTACAATAATAAATTAAACCATTATAAATATAAGAAAATTATCAATAAACTAGTATAAATATAAAACGAATCTAAATATAAAAATGTCGATACATTTTGATAGGTTGGAGCATAGTTAGGGAAAGTTGGGTTCAGGCACTTATTGCGCTTATGTTTGGCCATTTTAATTTGCTCCTGGCACAATTTCTTGAATGGGCCCATACAGGCCGCGTACGATATGGCATATGGTATGAATGTCTGCTCCACAACACCCCTAAACAGGTGTCCATTGAGTCCGTGCGCATAGACGGGCACGTCTTCGCCCCCGTGAGTCTCCCAACGCCGCGGAACCGCCGACTCCTGGATGTACTCATTGTTTGCTGTCAATCAAGTATTAAACAATATGTGATTATTTTTCAACAAGAGATTGTATGCCATCAAGTATTAAAGCTTTTCATTCTCATTAGTCTTCATCCTTTTCATTCTCTCTCTCTCTCTCTCTCTCTCTCTCTCTCTC